ACTTAAATAGGGTTTCTACTAGCCTTTCTACAATGCATGAGACGAGAATTACGTACTTTTCCACACAACAGTAGAAGTCAAGTTCTGCAACCATGGATTCTAGAGAAACAAGCTTTTAAAGTGATGAAAACAATGAAAGTCCGGGTTGAAACTCGCCTAAGGTTAGAGCACAGGAAAATGAAAAAAGTACTGGTTTAGGGAAAAACAATTACATATACATCTAGTATATATATATATATATATATATATATATATATATATATATATATATATATATATATATATATATATATATTCCAGTCTTGATCTCTGTATTAAAGGTATTTAATATCTTATGACATTTAAATAGAGACTCTAACCCTTGTGCTTATGTAAAAACTGTAACATAAAATCACTGAACTCAGTATAATAAATGAAGGGAAACATATAAGCTTCTTTTTTATTATCTGTTTTTTTTTTCAGTGACATGGTGTTTATTGATATATGGATGTTATGTATGCAACAAAAAATGAATATTTGTTGTATACGCTTTGTGAAACTCTGACAAAAGGCTGTGCCGACCAGGGGCGGAGCTAGATGGGGGGGCCAGGGGTGGCCATGGCCACCCTTAGCTAATCATTGGCCACCCCTGTGGCAGATGGAGTATTACAGAAGTAATAATCTCAAGTGGAATATTGAAAAACATTTAAATTTTTCCTAAATTAACAATTTCTTGACAACAAAAACTATGTGGTTGATTATGCACATCAATATACTAACATTAAAGATGATAATTCATGCTAGATTTTGTGTTATGGGGGTTAAAAAAAAGTCTTAAAGTCATCTAGGAGTCTTCTGTGAAATCATAGATAAATAACTATTTTAATAAAAACTTAATAATCAATTTATGTATATATTAGTACTTGGAAATATCAATGTTATGCAGAATAATTGTTGATAAAAGTAGGTAACTAATGACAAAGGAAGAGATGTTTGCCCCAGAACTCAAATGTGAGAGAATTGTATCCACTATATATTTATCTAGAAAGCTCGGATGGTTAAATATATGCATCTATTTGTTAGCAAAGCCTGTAGGAAAGTACAGTTTGTCTTTATTTAGAAAATATGGATGTTGTGCTTTTTAATTTTCCTGTAGCAATAGTGTAGATTGACCCTGAGGTTCTGGTGCTGATCCGCTTTCGGCCACCCCTCAGTCTACATCGGTTCACCCTTACAAAAGTTTTCTGGCTACGCCTCTGGTGCAGACCTGATTTTCTAGGTGGACACTCACCAGGACATTGTTGCAGATTTCCTGCAGCTCCGTCTCCACCTTCTGCTGATACTCTTTCACCATCTGCTGCTTCTTCTCGCTGCCATCGGTCTTCTGGCCGATGCTGGACAGCACCCTCCAGGCAGAGCGCCTCGCCCCAACCACGTTCTTGTAAGCGACAGAGAGCAGGTTCCTCTCCTCGTTTGACAGCTCGCCTCCCATCTCAGTCACCTCCCTCATGCAGTCTGCCATGTCGTCATAGCGCTCAGCCTGCTCCGCCAGCTTGGCCTTCTGGATCAGATCCGTCCTGTCCATTTTTTGTATGTTTAAGGGCACTCTGAGATGAAGAAATTCAGGTCACAGAATTTCCGAGGAATTAATCTACACCAGCTGAGAAGAAAATAAAATTATCTCGGTTAAAAACGTCAATAATCATCTTATAATGTAAAATTTAAATATATATAAAATACGTAAAATGCATATATAAAAAAGATACTGTATTTTTTTAGGTTAGCTTCAGTTTTGACCGCGATTACCGCGATAAATACTATTTTTTTTAGGAAACTATCTGTATCTGTGTGCTAGCTGACAGCATCAAATCTGTAAGCAGCAGCAAAATCTGTCTGCAGCGGCTAACATTAACAAAAAGGAGCTAACGTTAGCTTCAGCAGCCACTCCTTTCGTTTTTAAATAGCATGTTAGCTATTCCTTAAATAAATATCGGAACAATTCAATGCTTGTTGGCTTTGATTTAAACGATAGGAAATGATTAAAACATAATAATTCGCTTTGTTTCTCACCTAATCGAGAACAAATTCACTCGCCGAACTGATCCGAGCAGAGAGATTGGTCAAAAAGACACAAAATCGTAGTAGTCGAAAAAAAAAAGCCGAGCTGATTGTCCTAAAAATGGAGGAGGCTCATCTGGATGGTAAGCCACCAATCACAAGGCAGAGAATAGTTTGATTGACAGGGGCAGTCTGGGAGACTTACCAATAGTTCTTTAGCGCGGGGGAAGGAGGAGGGGCTTGGCTGGTAGTTGAATTAATAACCAGAGCATAGATATAGAAAAGCAGATAGTTCACGCTGCCCCGTAGGAGATATACACCAGATTGTCCACCATGTTGTGAGTGGCATTTAAATTCTGTTCGGAGACTGATTATACGGTTTCTAAATAAAATAAACACTTTACGGTCTATTTACTATTCCACAAGCGCAGATTTAGCTGTCTGTTGTGGTTTTGCCCTTTAGACCATGACAGCAAATTAAAAGAAAATACAGAAATAAATAAAGCTTGTCTAATTAAGTTACTTGTTTTACACACTCTTTGCACCTTTTTGACATTTCTTTCTTTATTTGTTTGTTTATTTTTGTTTTGGTTTATTTGTAATGTATTTGTCTTATTATTGATTATAGCAGGATTGATCCTCATTGAATTTCTATAGCCCAATTAACAAAAGAAACCCAGAATATGTGCAATAATAGGTTTACTTCAATGTTTAACTGATTTTGAATTAATGTCATTATTTGCAGCAACAAAATAATATCTGTAAATTAATAATATGATTGTAAAATAAAAGATTGGGTTTAAGCTGCATTTAATTACTGTTAAACATTTACAATTATTAAGTTACATTTAGTAAATGTATTAAGGCAGAACAGCAATGTAACAACAAAAGCTATCATATTCTACCTTTAAAACTAAAGTTATATTAATATTGCACATAATGTTGAAAATTTTCAAAAATTATATTCTCCATTAATGCATATTTGTACTTAAAAACGTATCACTGAGACAGATAGTTGAACCAAAGTCAGATTCCTTCCTTGTGTGAAAAAATATGTTGCTTAAAGCAGATTCAGATTTTGGTTCTTATAGTAACAGTTTTTTAAAAAAGTGATTGTATAACAAATCTTTTCTAAACCAGATTCAAGGTACCTTTTAAAAATACTGTAATAAGTGTAATGGAAAATCATCATGGTTAATTAAGACTTGATACCTTTCCGTGTGTTATTAAATCAATGTAATTACATTAACTTGTAAATACTAAATGTCTTCTTTTCTTATTTTTTATTTATTTATTGCCATTTTTAAAATAAGTCCATATTTAATTGCAGCCTCTAAAGCTGTGGGGTCTATTCTTCTTGTTTCTATGTACAGCAATTCTGCAGCGAAGGAGAGAAAGTAAAAGAAGACGTCACCATGTTGTCATGGTGATTCTTAACCAATGGCTTCTCTGATCTCACATGCTGCATTACATGGGCGTTCAAAATATGATACGTTAACGCCTCCTTCATTTTACGAATGGCAAGGTGCAGCTGTGGCAGAAAACCAGGGTTTCCTGCACTGAAAAGAGCCAAAAATTAACAAAGCATTAAAAAAACGTGTTCTAGTCATGAGTGAAAAAATATTCCCTTATACGAAGTATCTTATTAGTGGATGTTAATTTCCTTTATGATAATAATAATAACAATAATAATAATCATCATCATCATCATCATCATCATATTAACAATAATGATGATAATGACGATAATAATAATAACAACAATAGCAACAATGATGATGATGATATAATAATACAAATAATAATAATAATAACGACAACAATAATAACATTAACAACAACAATAATAATAATAATATAATAATGTATATGACAAAAACGTAAACAGTATTGATTACATTTTTTTTATATTTTACATAAGGTATCACATAAGGAAAAGCAAAGTGAAACCCTTTTTATGATAAAGGCAGTGATAGAAAATCAGGGACATTCCACCATTTAATGACTCCCCTTTAAGTCAAAACGTTAGTATTGTGGTAATTAAAACTGAAAACATCTTTTTTCTATCTCTTTTTGTGAAGTTTGAATCCATTAACATTAGACGTTCTGACAACGTCCATTTAACTTTTTCACATTGAACATGTTGGACGTTGTTTGAACGTCCAGTGTTGATCATTCGTGTCTTTTTTTAGCCAATCCTGAAAGAACCATAATTTTAGATGCAGGAGAAATGCATTCAGTGGATAGAGCTAGACATACATAGAATCTAAGAGAATTTTAGCTGTTCTGTTTTGTCAAAGATGACAATAAACATTCTCTTTTTTTTGTTTGATTGTTTTTTTTTTTGTTTGTTTTTTTTCCCAGCTTATTTTCATTACACTGTCACAAGTACAGAGTTATGAAACAAACCCTCTGCATTTAACCCATCCCCTTGGGGAGCAGTGGGCTGCCATTGTGTGGCAACCGGGGAGCAGTGTGGGGTTAAGGATCTTGCTCAGGGACCCAGAGTGGAGGCTGTGGGGATCGATACAGGTACTTGCAACCTTCTCAGAGTAGAAGTGTACTGCTCTAACCACCAGACCAACATTCCCCACAATGAACTTTCTGACATTGATCTCACTATAACCACAAACGTTTGTATTTTTCTTACTAGCTCTGCTGAAGCAGAGTTCAACTGAAAGCACAGCATTTGATGGGAGCTTTACTGGCCGTTTTTGCTGCCTCTTACTCTAATAATCCTCTTGCCCAAGCTTGTCCTGTGTCGTAAAAACTTGGGAGTTATGTTGTACTGCTTCACCTTTAAGTGATGGACAGAACCATGCACTGTGAGATGTTTAAAGTATACTATATAGTTTTGCTACCTATTCTTGTTTTAATTATTTCAAAACTTTCTTCCTGAACAGTTTGATATGTCTTCATAATGCTGTTTCACATCTGGTCACTGAAGTCTCAAATAAACAGCCAATTTAACACTGAGATTAAATTAGGTACAATTTAATTTTACTGCATCTTTAAGCAATGGGTTTTGTTTTAGGAGTAAAGTGGCTTGCTTCAAAAACGGCCAGAAAAATGATGGATAAACATGTTTGAAATTAGGCCTCCTTAGCGCCCCCTCTGGTCAATGGGAATGGATCCTAAACCAGCATCTGTGACGTCACTTCCTTCGCGCGCTATACTGCTAACTGCAGCTAACCAGCTGACAGACAAGAACAAGCTCGAATCCTAACATTATTTTCGGAGCCAACGGGGAGCTTAGATCTTTCTAAATTTGTGCTGATAGATTAAACATCTTTATCAGGAGCTGGGTTTCCATTGACCCTCCATAAAGGAGGCTGCTGCCTTTTAACAACATCATTCAGCAGATCGGATGTGTTTGTTGTTAGCAGCCTCAGTGCCCCCCGCCTGCTACCTGCTACCAGAATTTTATCTTTTTTAATTTGTCTGCTTGCTTACGGAAGTTTCCCCCTCTGGTATGCGCCTAACCCCACATGCTGGACCTGCCCTCAGCCCTCAGGAGCCATGAAGCTGCAGTGCGATGTGGAGGTGGTAAACCGGATGCTCCCCTCGTTCGGAATGAAAAGTCGGGGGAAGGGAGCGAGAGCGGTGGTCTCCATCGGAAAGCACTTGGACAAGTCGAGTCAGCGCAGTAACATCTACATGCTGATCTGCACAGCCAAAGACAGAAGCGGCTCAAAGTATAAGGTCTGTGAGCTGTTTGCTTTGGTTCCTCACACTGGGAACATCGTGTTCTGACTCTCCTCTTATTGCTATTTCAGTCTCCTGAATGCTTCTGGGCCAAAGTACCTAGAACTTTTAGGACTTGGGTATCCAATAACTACGGAAGACGATTAGGGACACTGAAAAACTAAAATAAATCAGAATTATGAGGGTAAAAGTCAGAATTATGAGGAAAAAGTCAGAATTGTGAGGAAAAAATGTTGAAATTCTGAGATTAAAGTCAGAATTATTAGATTAAAGTCAGAATTATTAGATTAAAGTCAGAATTCTGAGATTAAAGTCAGGATTTTGAGATTAAAGTAAGAATTATGAGAAAAAAGTCAGAATTCTGAGATGAAATTCAGAATTCTGAAAAAAGTCAGAATTCTGAGGTTAAAGTCAGAATTATGAGAAAAAAGTCAGAATTGTGAGGAAAAATGTTGAAATTCTGAGATTAAAGTCAGAATTATGAGAAAAATGTCAGAATTATGAGATTAAAGTCAGAATTATGAGAAAAAAGTCAGAATTGTGAGGAAAAATGTTGAAATTCTGAGATTAAAGTCAGAATTATGAGAAAAATGTCAGAATTATGAGATTAAAGTCAGAATTATGAGATTAAAGTCAGAATTCTGACTTGTTCAACTAAAAAAATAAAAAGAAGTTGACTGATTTTTAAATCTCATTTCAGTATAATATGAGAATTCTGACGAATTCTGAGGAATAAAGTAAGAATTCTGAGATTAACGTCAGAATTAGGAGGAAAAATGTCAGAATTTTGAGTTTGAAGTCAGAATTCTGACTTTTTTCCCATATTAAACTGGAATATTTAAAAATCAGTTAATTTTTTTATGTCTTTAGTGGCCCCAATCCTCTTCCGTACATTACAGTATAATAAGATTAAATAAATCTGGATGGATGGTTGGTTGGTTGGTTGGTAACTTAGCTAAGGCAATTTCTTTAACCCCTAATAAAGCACTCTGTGAAATACACTTCAAGCCAATAGTGTTATTTGAATCCAGTAAAATACCTTATTACCTTTGTAACATTCAAAAAATATTTATATTTTGATTGAAAAAATTTATATCAATGTAATAACAAGAAACGCCAACTTACCCGAATATATTAAGCAAAATAACAACAGTGCTTCAATAAGAAATTCATGAACAACACACATTTTTTGGGTAAAACATAATCTTAGAGGGATTAATGCTGATAATGACACTTACATTTTTTAGTTTATAAACCTAAATATAATTATTAACTGCATTTGTAAGGGGTATGCAAGTGATCAAAAATGGTAACTTGTCCTTTTTAATAATATTCTTTGCTTTGTGATAATTTTCTGAAGAATACATTTAAGAAATATTTTGATACATTGTGTGAAAAATCTGTTTTAATTATCACTGTATGATGTGAAATAAAAGCTCCTCTGATTTAAGCCATTTCAATTTACCAAATTTATTTATTTTATTTAATTATATTAAGGCTTTTAACCCTTACACTTTCAGTGCAAAGCTTGTGTAATTAATGATAAAGAGTCAAGCTTATAAAACTAAGGTTTTAGATGTCAGAAATTATTTCTTTATGGTTTAAACGGAAAAAAAGACATCTTGCTTCATTTTTTGACAGACAGTTTAACAGCTGTCTGGTCTTGTTGGCAGTGATTCACTCTTTGTGTAACTATGATGCATAGCTGAAATGTTATTGTTTTTCATCATGCTTATGTTATGAAATTTTTCTTTCAGTTAAGAGACAACATCGAGAAGTTCTTCACGTGGTTTGTGGAGGAGGGCAAAGCGACTGTGAGGTTAAAAGAACCGGCTGTTGACGTTTGTTTAAGCAAGGTATGACATCTTTTATGAAATAACTGTATGAGGAAGAGGGCGTTTATTGGGCAATCCTCTTTTTTTTACTCTGGAATAAAACCTTCCTTTGAATCAAGAGTCCCACCTATCATTCATTGACTTCTACAATTAAATACTAGAAGGATAGAAAAAGCTCTCTTCTGTGTAGTTTTGTCTTTTCCAGCACTAAAAACCATTAAACTTTTATTTTACGTTGATGGAAAGATTATCAGTAGGGATCTGTGGTCCTCTGATCAGGGGTTGGCAGTTCAAAGACTGAAAAGGTAGATTTCCTACATTTTAAATTTGTTAAAAGCATCACAATTACAACCCAAACCAATTTTTATCATATCACATCAAACGGCACTATTTACTTCAAAGCACTGTTTTTAAACTTAATTGAAAATCAGATTATATTTGGAACAGGGGTCAATTGGGTAGGTCCTTCATTCTCTGTTAATTCAGAGCTGCTGCCTTTTGCAAAGAACCTGGAAGACATTTTTCTACTAGTCCTTCAGATTTCCTTAAAGGGAAATCTGTAAAAGCAAGGACATCTCTAAGGAAAGGAGCCAATTTCAAATTTAGACTATAATCCAGACTAATTACACCAGCATATATTAAGCAGGACTTCTATACTGGATAACTTCATCTGTAAAAATTAGAAGAATTGTCCTCTGTTATACCATCCTTCCGACTCACGGCTGTTTTCCTAAAAGCCCAGGGCCTGCCTCTTTCATTTCTACAAGAACCGTGTCAAGAAATTACTGTCCAGCCAAACCTGGGCCGAATATTTTTAGGAATTCGGTCAAACACAACCGATCGCACCAAAGCATCTTTTCTCCATCTCTCTTCTGATACAACTATAACTAGTTTGTTTTGTTTTAGGCCGACGCCAATAGCTTGAAGAACTTCCTCTCAGCAGCGCGCTTCGCCGACCGAGGGAGTGACACCAGCAGCCTTCCTCTGTCCACGCTTACTCCCGTTCGCGCCAGAGATGTGGAACAGCCAAAGAAGAAGCTTTCGGTCATGTCCAAAAAGGATTATCCTCTCACCTCCAACTTCCCTTATTCTCTGGAGCAGTTGCAGGTGTCTTACTGCAAACTGTCACGGGTGGACATGCGCATGCTGTCGCTCAAAGGTACATCTATCATGTGTTAAGTGATGCTCATGTTTTTTTTAAAACTTAAACAAGTTACCAAAGATTGTATCTGTCAGACCTGCACAAAAAATGGCATAGGTGTAATAAAACCCCTTAGAGGTTAGTTACAATATAAATAGCAGGTTAAAGATCAACGCCCACGCGGGTTTTAAAATAATTACTCTTATCTTTAATCATCTCGAGCTCTGTTATAATCATCATCTTAAACAGCTCTAGAAATCCACATGACAGATGGATGACGATTATTAGTCAGGAACTCCTGATTAGATGAGACTAAATATAAGTTTTTTGGCCTTGATGCAAATTGCTGTGTGTTTCTAAAAATAAAAAGTTGCCGTTAATACACGATCCTAACTCTGAAGCACAGTAATGGCATCATCAGGCTGTGGGGATGTTTTTATCCAGCATAGAAAAAAGCATCAAGTGAAAGGACAGGAGGACAATGATTATAAAGATCTAAATAGAACTGACAGACTTATATGGTTACACTTTAGAATAACTGTCAGCTATAAATGGTATAGTGGCCATTTATTAATTATTAGCATTTTATTAATGTTTGATTCATTTATAAACTGCACATAAACCATTAATATAAAGTAAATAGATCATTTGTTAAGGTCTTATGTCCAGTAATGTTAGGGTTATAGGGCTTAGCTAACATGGCAGGGCAATATGATCCTTTTACCTTCTAGAAATAGCTTATATTCAGTTTATAAAAGATAATAAACTATCTGTTAATCGTTCATAAATGGTTTCTTTACCTTTTATTAACGATGGTTATTGTAATAAAGCATTCTCATGAGTTTAAAATGGCCTAATCAAAGTCAAACTTAAATTCAACATCATAGAGGTGTGAACAATTTTAAAATACTTAAAGCTGTGGTTTCTCCAACATGTCACATTACAGAGGAATAAAAGGTTTTTCCACATTTTCTATGGTTTTATTTGTAAAAAATTAAAGCATTTATCTTTGTCCTCCGAAATAAAAAATGTATATTCTTTGTAACATAAACTCTAAGCAGCCTGTTTACAGTACAATGCTGAGCGTGTGTCTCTTCTTTTCTGCGTAGCTCTACGCAAGCTGGACCTGAGCAACAACCACATCAAGAAACTCCCTGCCACCATCGGCGACCTGAGCTGCCTCTCTGAACTCATCCTTCACAACAACCATCTGGAGGCCTTCAGTGAAGCCCTGTGCTTGTCCACGTTGCAGCAGACCCTCCAGGTCCTGGACCTGAGCCAGAACCGGCTGCAGTCGCTGCCCGCCCGGTTCTGTCAGCTCAGAGAACTGATAAACCTCAAGCTGGATGACAATAAGCTTGTAGGCCTGCCGTTACAAATCGGCCGCCTCTCAAAGTTGAGGTTCCTGTCTGCTGCGCACAACCAGCTGACTGTTCTGCCAACAGACTTCTTCAAGCTGAGTCTTGAGAACTTGGACCTGTTTGGAAATCCGTTTATCCAGCCCAACCCTTTGGACCACACCATGAAACTTTCCTTCCCTCTTCCACTACAGGAGATCGCCTCCAGAGCTGTAGCTGATCTCAGGTCAGATTAGAAATTCCAATATTTTGTTGTTTTTTGTTTCCAAACCAGATAAACCATTTACCCTCTCCCTTTATGCACCCCAGAATCCCGTACGGCCCTCATCTCATCCCCGCCCACTTGTGTGGAGACCTCGAAGCAGCCAAGACGTGCGAGTGTGGGCGCGTCTGCATCAGCTTCTACATAAAGACGGCCGTGAGCATGAACCTGCACCAAGTGTCTCACACGGTGGTGTTGGTGGACGACATGGGAGGCACGGATGCTCCGGTGCAGCAGCACTTTTGCTCCCTCTCTTGTTACTCTGAGTTTTTAGACAGCTGTCTTCAGCGAGGCCTGAGATGAGAAAACCACAGAACATTTTATCTTCAGCATTCAAAGATTACAGTGGAGGTAGCAGCAGATGTTACGCTGGTGGGGAGAATTGAAGAGGCAGCTGCGGAAGTCAGAACCACGGACCAGTGTTTTTTTTGTTTTTATTTTTTTAAAGCTTCATTTCCTTTGTTTACATTAAGCGTAGAACTTTCTCAGTTCACATCAGAGTAGTGATGACTGTTTAAAACAATGCAATAACGCTGCACTTGCTGCTGAATCTTTAGCAGGCTCTTTTTCTCCTTTTTATGAGACTTGATGTTCCTCTACTGACCTACATTGCTAAGACAGGGGAATAAGGAAATAAGAACAGCGCCTCAGGGTCCACAAAGCAGCACCGGGGGGAATCAGTTATTATTAGAGATGCACTGATTCTGGCCGATTCCAGTTTGGAAAGATTCCTACAACATAAGTGAGGAAAGCAAATGTGCTGCAGGTTCTAAATGAATGTAGGAGTGCTGAACTCCTCAGAAAACAATAGATGCATTAAAGCATCTATTCCTACCATTGAAATGATTTTCACTAAAAATCAAAAAAGTGCCTCAAAGTACATGACCATAGCTTTTGTGTTTAGAGACTAAAAAATGGGCTGATTTCATCTTTTTGATCCATTTTTAATAGTCATATTTTTCCACACTCGACCCTCTGATTGGACGCTTTCAGTATTTGAACACCTGATGCATCTACATTTCTTATGCTTGTAAAGTTTGTCATATATTTTTAAATACATAAAGAATAAAAACTTTCAATGTTATGTATTTTGTATTTCATTCTTAAACCTTTGGATTATTTGTGGGGGGTGAGATTATTGTTAAATTGGAGTTCAATCATTTTATGGCTTCTAATGTTTGTGCCATTCATTTGCCAAATGAAATCACTGTAAAAATTAATCCAAACTTTTCAAGTAAACACTTCTGTAGCTTTTAAATTTATTCATCTTCAGTCCCCCCAAATATGATCACTTAAGTAAACTCTTTAACATTTAGAAAAGAACCACAATAACGCTGTATATTTCTCAAAATTTAATCAGAATAAACAAAAAAAGAAACATTTATCTAAGACAAAGAGTCTAATTAGCCACACCAATAGCTATTTACTAACCTTGTAGGAGAAAAATGAAAGGAACGAGCCTTTATCTAAGCCATAAAAGTAATCAAACTAAACACTATTTTGATGGATTTTGATTTCTAAGTCTAAGAAACCGAAACAACGAACATTACAGCTTCTATAAGTACTAGGAACCTCCGCTTTCAGCTCCACGCCCTCTGAAAGAGAACCTTGCTGAAATGTGCAGCTCTAGATTCTATTGAGGGGTATCTGAGTAAAGGGGCTGATAGTACTAATACATGCTACACATTTCCATTATATTTACTACACTTCTGCACTACTTTATGTAGGTCTGATATGTGATCTATTTTGCTCGCATAGAACCGTCTATGATGGGTAAGATGAAGGATTCATTTTGTATGAAGGACGAAAGGGGAAAAAAACTACATTTGTGGTCGTCATTTTTCCACTTCAGCAACCAACTTACTTTCTGTTGTAAGGAAATGTGGTTTTAGAACTCTAATATATTATATCTGATGTTTAGGATCTTTAACATCCTCTAAAAGTGTTTCTGAGTTTTCATAAATAAGCATGTTAAAAAGGTGTGATGGTAACTGGCTTCCTTTATGGTAATGTCATTGTTATCGATGACTTGGTATATTAATAGTATTCATGACAAATATCCATTTGTCATGAATACTATTATTAGATATCTATTATTTTACCAACTTTGCAATGAAACTGATAAATCCCATCAAACAAATGCATATTTTCACTTTGAAAAACATTTTGAGTCATTTAAACAGCAAAAAGAAAAAGGATTCTGCATCAAATTAATTCCTTCCCTGTAAAACACAGAGCATCAGTCCAGTTCATACATTAGTTTGTTCTGGAAAATAAAACCAGATGATGTGGAGTGATCACTGATCAGGGTCTCTTTTCCATCGGCATCAATTTCCCTCAGCATCGCGGCTGCTGGTGGATCGTTGTTCTTCTCCGACGTCTGGGCAGCTGGAGGTGCTGGCGGGTCATCTTCATCAGTTTCCTTTCCTCTTTCCACTGTGGCTGTGATAAAAGCCTGGCTGGACTCCACCGACCTCCCAGAGAGGCAGGCTTCCCCCACACTGTTCTCAGTTGGAGGGAAAGACACTTCAGGAGAAATCTGGGGTTCTCCAAAGGATGGAAGTAGCTGAAGAGAAGCACCTTGTTCATCCTGATGCAGAAAAGGAAGATGAAAAATTAAATAACAGGGTTTTTGTTCCTAAAATCACATCATTAGAAACTCCTCAAAAGAAACTGAGATATTAACATGTGAAAGACACCCAGCCTAAAGGTTTCACGCTTCACTATTACAGCAGATAACCTGAGCTGGTTTAATATGACCCAGAAAAAAGGCAGACCTATTGCTCTGCTTTGGATTATTGTCTTGTCATGTTCAAGGTTCCGTTATTCTGCAAGTCATCCAAGCTTGGAAGCAGTCCCTGATCATCACGCTACCTCCACCGTGCTCGTCCATAGCTACAATGTTCTGTTTCTGACATGCTCTGTTAGATTTACACCAGATTTAAAAGCACTCTAACTCTACTGGTCTGGCAGTGAATAGGCCTCAATCTGCCAAGGGAAACTGAACCAAATATTTTAGTTGATCTCAGCTAATTAATGATTTAACAAGATGGGCGTATTGTGTTTTCATATGTGGTCAGGTTTGTCAAGTTTCCTGTTTGAAAAATTGCCTTATTTTCCCTAAGATAGACCATGTCTGACATCATTCCTTTTTTATGTAAAAAAAAAAAAAAATAACCTCAAATCTTTTGTTTATTCTCAAACGCAGAAGAAATACGTGAGGAGGCCCTGTATATATGTGTTCAGTGGGCAGGCTAATTTCTATTAGAAATCCAAGTAATAAAAAATTCATTTTTCAATTGATTATGTTATTCCAATAAATAAATAAATATTTTTCACAGCTTCCATATTGATGGAAGCCATGTTGGTTTTTTGGGACATGGTTGGTGTGAATCCACAAATGTTCCACTTTTCCCCCTAACTTTAAACATAGGAAATTCTTATCATATAAAATAGGGATTGTTTTTATTTCTTGCTCCAGTATCAGCTGATATGAGCTACGTTCATTGGTCCATTCATCAGCCTTTCCAAAGGACATGCATTGCATCCCTCCAATGCTCTCCATTATTTTGTTGCTAAAAGTTTCTTCTTTGTAAAAACTGAGACTTGTGTCTTTTTATCATGAAAAGGCAATATGGGTTCAATTGTCAGCAACCCATGTTGGGAACTGGTTAGATTGCTGTCAAAACAGTTTGTATCAGCACTGATCTTTAAAAGAACCTGCATCAGTTGATCTATTTAATTATTATACGCTATATCAATGGTTTCAATTCTGAGTAAAATTGTAAGAGTGATTAATCTATGCTCAAACCAAACATGCAGCATCTTATAATTTCATAATTTTCATTACATTAGAAACAGAAAATATCTAAATCTTGATATTGATTACTTAAAACATGACAGTGTGGTGCTTCTTGTCACAGAAATGTCTTAGAATGGATCCTATCAATATATATTATTTTTTTTACCTTTCCAGTTCCCTCCCGGTCATCAAAAGATGTTATATTGGATTTAGATTCCAAACATGTGCTTGGCCTAACTTCTTTGTTATCTTCTGAGTCAATGGTCTGTTTGTCAGATATTAACACTTCCTGATTTTCAGTAAAGGTCGATGCTTTTTTGACAGCTACAGTTTCTGGAGCATGAACTCCTGTTTTCCTAACAGGTTCATCTTCTATCTGATCTTTAGCCACAGCTGATCTTTCCTCAGTACTTTGGCTTTTAGTTTCCTGTATTGTCTTTGGCCCAGCTTCCTCCTTATCCACTTCATTGCTCACTTGTAAACTCTCTTGCTTTGGAAGCTCTGTTCCTGTTTTTTCCTCCTCTGTTTCATGCTGTTCTCTCTTTATTTGCTGATCATTTCCTGCACTTTTCTGTTCCTCATCACAGTTTTTGACCAGTCCTTTTTCCTGATTCCTTTCCGCCTGTTCATGTGATTTAACCTCTTCCTTGTTCTTCTCATAAACCTCTTGTTCGGTTTGTTCCTCTTCAACCTCACTTTGCTCTGCTTGACTCTCGCTATCTTTCTTGAGTCCATCATGATGACGGAGAGCGTCATCAGGTGGACGGACCGGCAGGGTCACACTGAGCTTTCCTGTGTGTTTGTTGAACTTGGCCTCTCCTTGGTCTTCATCCACAGGATAAGCTAAAGGGAGATACAGTTTGTAGGCTGGTTGTTTGGACTCCAGCAGCAGACTTTTCTCCTTTACCTCAAGGTTAGTGTCTCTGACTGACGTCAGGAGTGGCAGGTCAATAGTGATCAGAATTTCTTTAGGCCTGGGGCTCTGCACAGAGTCTCTAGAACATCTGAAATCCTGTAAATCCACCAGAGATCGATATTTTACAGTGTAGTTTGGCTTCACCGGATCCTGGTTCTTCTGTGATTGGAACTGGAAGCTCTGGTTTTCAGTGGCTCTGTTGTCTGTTAATGCCAGATCCTCAGGGGTACTGTTCTGGGGATTGAATCCAGGTATGGGTCTTCGGATGACACATGGCTGAGGGGTACCCTTGTATTTTGTCTTCATTTCCTTCACCTTATTTTTGTCTAGATGTACTTTAAATGCTCGTTGGACTCCATCAATAGCAGCATCGTAGACCATTTCCATGAATGCTTTGTTTTTAGAGGCCATGTGCAGCGTGTCAGGGTGGAAAATAACATCATAGATCACATATGTGTTGCCTTTAGTGTCTCTGTCTGTCCTCCCTGGTTGAAGACTGTGAGGCAGGCTCCAACACTGCCCCCTGCGGCCATCCTCTGACACAGCACTCTTTGCCTGGGGTGTGTGGATCTTGTCATTGGCGCAGATGTTGATGAAGCATTTCTGCTTTGCAGCGTTGCTGATTCTGATCACCCTGAAAGGGGAAGGCTGGATGAACTCCACCGTGTTTCCTCTCTCCTGCTCCCACTGTTGGATTTCCTCCTCGTATTTTCTCATGTTCTCAGGGTCAGACATATCTTGGATGTATTCACGCAACATCTCCCTAAATTTACCGTCTTTGAAGGCGTTGGTAATTCTTCCCATTTCCTCTGATGACAAGTTTAACTCTTTGAGCTTCTCCCCGATCTCCATTTTCTTATATATTGAGAAACAGATCAGTTTCAGTTCAAACTCATTAGTAAACACGATCTATAAAAACAAAGTGCCGTCTTTAATTGAGTCCTACAAGCTAGAAACATAGAAAAACGGTCTTAACTGTTGTTTATGTCACCATGGTAACACAGAGGCGCCCAATCAAAGGAGGAAGGTGGGCAGGGGGCGGGGCTAACATGACCATCAGTGGATAATGTGTAAAAACCACTTAAACTCTATACTCATCAGTTATGTAACTCAGTTTATCGATTTGCTACTTTGTCCTGGTTGAAAATACTGAAGTTACAAGAAATTTAGTTTTATGCTCCTTTTCAGTAGAGCGTAAAAATGCAAAGAAAGAAAAAAAAAATGCAAAGAAAGAAAAAGATGAGAGAAATATAGCCAGAGGTGGTAAATATTAGTTAGCCGACATTTACTCAGTTAAATTAACTTGAGTAAATATTTGAAGAAAAAAAAAAGAATACTTTTTATGTGCAGTTTTACACGAATGTACTTTTTACTCTTGCTGGAGTAAAATTTATAGCTATTCCATCTACTACGAATAGAATAGAATACAACAGAATAGACTAGAATAGAATAGAATAGAATAGAACAGAACAGAATAGAATAGAATAGAATAGAACAGAATAGAATAGACTAGAATAGAATACAACAGAATAGACTAGACTAGAATAGAACAGAATAAAGTAGAATAGAACAAAACAGAAAAGAATAGACTAGATAAGAAGACAATAGAACAGAATAGACTAGAATAGACTAGATAAGAATAGAATAGAACAGAATAGAATAGAACAGAATAGACTAGACTAGAATAGAATAGAGCAGACTAGAATAGAATACTCTAGAATAGAATAGAACAGAATAGAATACACTGGAATAGAATAGACTAGACTAGAATAGAACATAATAGAATAGAATAGAATAGAACAGAATAGAATAGACTAGATAAGAATAGAATAGAACAGAATAGAATAGAACAGAATAGACTAGAATAGAATAGAATAGAATAGAATAGAATAGAGCAGACTAGAATAGAATACTCTAGAATAGAATAGAACAGAATAGAATACACTGGAATAGAATAGACTAGACTAGAATAGAATAGAATAGAATAGAATACAATAGAATAGAATAGAATAGAATAGAAAATCCCTCTATTGTCCCACATTGGGAACTTCTGGTGGTTACAGCAGCAAAAGATTATAGCAAAAGTAGTAACACAAATATAGACCTTAAAAAGTGTATAAAAATAACAGAATAGGTGACAGAAATACAAAAATAAACAAATAAAATACTGTTCTGTACAGAGTTTTTACAAATATAAATACAGTGCATCTAGAGCATAAATAATCAATATACAGCTGTAGATATTAATAGACAGTAATAGATCTGTGAATAATAGCAGCAACACTAGAGATTTGCAAAAATGACCAAGACAGAAACTGCAACAATCAGCATGAATGTCAAAACTTGTTGATAGTGATAACAGTGATAGCAACTTTACTTGACAAAAACAAGCTGGTTTCAAACAAATATGCACTATTAACAGACACTTTCTTCTTATTTAAATTGAAGGCTTATTGTTTGAATGTAATTTTCCATCTTCTGAGTCTGCCTTGTCATTTAAAGGTTGAGTGAACATATTAGTTCACTGTAATTTCACCTACTCTACATAGAGTAACTATTGATTTTTAGTTTTATAACAAAAACAGGTATTTTGAAGCTTCCAGCTGAATTCTCTATTGTGGAACTAAGTTATATGTTTAATTTGATCGTATTCTTTGAGACATCAGAATTTTCATATCGGTAAATATTTTTGTTCAATTTTACATAATTTTATAAAACATTAAATCAGTTGGGTAGTCAGGGTGAGTAGACCAGTTAGCCTTTTTACCAAATACTTTACTCTTACTTGAGTAATTTATTTAAAGGTCACTTTATACTTTTACTTGGTTAAAAATATAATGAAGTAGTGCTACTCTTAGTTAAATACAATTTTTGGATACTCTACCCACCTCTGGAAAGAGCTAAGTTGAATTATTTGAAGCCAAACTCAAATGTGCAACAGCTGATCAAAAAATTATGCACAAAATAAAAAAAAGCAAAGACAAAAAACAAAAATTTTAGAAGAAATAGTTTAAAAATAAATTATCTCATTAATAATGCATCTATAGTTTACAAGATATTAGTCTCAGGTTTTAATTTTTTGTTAAATTCAATTTATCACGATTTTATCTAAATTTATATTTAGAAACTTTGAATCTCTTTTCAGTTGCAGATAGTGATGACCTGCTATGGACAGCAGAGGTCGCTGTGGATCAAATTTGTGGCATTCGTCCAGTGAGCGTGTGGTATAGTGAGGGAGGTGGGCGGGGTGCAGGGAAGAGCGCTGATTGGTCGCGCCCCCAGCAGTTCGGTTTTTCCGGTATGTGATTGGATGACGGTGTATTTAATGAGCGCGAAACCAGCGCTGATCAATGTGAGACAGCGAAACAAAGGAAGAGTTTAATCTGGTATTTTACCTTTGTGGGAATTATCCTTTCTCGAATTATCTATTTGATGTCTTTTTAAATTTGTTCTGGGTAAATATATAATTGTTAATCAAAACTGAATAAAATTTGACCAGCTTTTTTATGTGACATTAATTTTCATTTCTAAACTTGTAATTTTTTTTTTGTTTCTTTGTTCTGCCTTTTAAAATAGAGCAATCTGTGTCTCTTTAATACTCATTTGGAATAACATTTTTTTTTTTCTCAGAATCAGTTCTGCAGACAGTACATGGTATTAGGCCTGGTATCAAATACATTTAGTTCATTTTTTGTGTATGGGGAGTACTGAAATTAATAAAGGAACAAAAAAAATCTATATATTAAACTCCCATGCTCATTATTTTAGTCTTATCGAATCATGTTTAATTTTTACATTTTATTGAAAGATAATGTGATTTTTTATTGTGTAAGTAATGCTGTAGTGCTAATAAATATGTATACAATCTATAAGGTTTTTTGAGCTTTGAAAATGGGATCCCAGCATCTTTATCAGAATGTTTCTGGACCTAAAAAAAATCCAAAAGATCTGTTAATAAAAAGCAAGCACCCCGTCTGTCACTTCTGACTCACCAACCATTCTGCCTCTGAGATTATCATGAGCACACGATGTTCCCGGAGGAACTGCCAGCAGAGCTTTTATAACACTCTCACAGAAATCAGTTTAGGCCAGCAGGAAACTACCCACGGGGTAGTAAGCTCATTTGGAAGAACAGAATGAGGCTCAGCTGACCAAAAAAGGCCACGGTAAAGAAGGTAGAGTAAAACTCCAGGATGTGGGTGGAAACCATGTTTCTGAATCATTCAGCTAGAAAACGCTACTAATTACACTTCATCTCCACTCAAAGATCACAAAAGGAATAACTCATTTAAGTATCACTTTTTAATTACAAACATGATATTAAATAATACGAAAAGTCAGGCGGGCAGGTACATTTGGGGTACAATCAAAATACTCATAATTAGTTTCAAATATACACTTTTTGTCACCCTTTTCCCCAAATGAGACAAAAAAGATGTAATTTATACTGAAACAAACAATACATTCACATAGACATCAGTATTTAGACAAATATATTGTCTTGTAGGAGGTGGACAAAAACGAAATGTCAACAAATGTCATTACAAAAGCTTTGGCAAGGATGAGTACAAACAAATCAACAATAGAAAACAAGTAAACGAAGAATCGTTTAGAGGAAATCCATGTACAAAATGAGCAGTAGAGCAGGAGGAGTCCAGTGCATGTTCTGTCTTTTTAGAAGTAAAAGATAAACCGCCATTTTTGTCATCCCTCTGGTGTCTCAGGAGTGAAGAAGGTCCGTGCATTTTTTTTTTTTGGTGGTTCCATTTTCTGAGTAGAATCCAGTAATGAAAGTGTTTTTCAAATACTAAATATTCAAAGAAACAAAGAACCCCCTCCCCCTTGTCTTTCCTTAGTCAAAACCAGATAAGCATGAATAATCAGAGTTAAAACAAAAAAAACAATAGAGAAAACTGACCATTTCTCTAATAGTCCTACACATCTTTATAGTTTACAATTCATCCTGAGATATCACTGTCCATACACACTGGGCATAAATGTCTTTAATTACATTTTTCTCATGTGTCTAAGCATCTAATGTTTGTTTTTTTCCCTTGAATTGGCCCTTCTATGGTGAATTGTAACAGTTTTGTGCATTAAATGTGATAGAAAAACCCAAACTAATAATAGGCTTCTTCTGAAACTTCACCTCAAACAATTTCCAGTGAAGCTAGTATTTCATTCCCGTAAATATAAATTGATGGGTATTTTAAAGACTTTGCTAGAAGAACCTCCGACATCTAACGGTCGGAGACATGTCCAAATATGTCTAATTTTGCCGTTGGCAACCTATATTAAGGTAAGCCGTTTCTAATTTATTCAGCTTCCACATAACATCTAAAACACAAATAATTATCTTGTCATACAAAAAAATGCTGCCAGTAAAGTTGTATTTGATAATTCTAGATGCACAGGTGAAAAAAGGTTTTGTTGTATAAATAGAGGTTGAAAGAGATCAATGTGAATTTAGGCGGACAGAAGGAAAACACGTGAGAGAGCAGGAACCAAATCGACACATTTCTGGTACGAAGCTTTTCTTTTCAGACTTTTGTAATTGACAAAGTCGGGTACAAAAAAATAATCCTCAGAAATAGTTGAAGGTGTGAAATTAGCAGCAAAGTTCCCTTTATGAGGGAAAAAATATGTGGTAGTTGTACGCAAGAAACAGCGCCTCCTAGAGGCAGAGTATGAGATAGATGTTATTCCAAGGATATAAAAAAACAGGACCATTTCTTACGTAATGGTGATTTTTCTCAATTATCTTAATAAAAATAAGTATATCAAACCAGTTCAAGTGTCAACTTGTCTGTTTTTGACCTCAAAAAAGAAAAGTGGCCAGAAATTAAATTCGATATTTTAAAATTAAAATACTTTTTTTACTTTTTATTTTTATCAGTTGCTACAAATGAGAGCATCCATTTTCCTAAATATGCACGGACAGAGGAAATGGCGGTAGTTCAGAGTCTACTTGGAGCTGGCGGGCACTAGCATGCTAAGGGTGGCGATGGCAGCTTTAGAGGGAGGAGTTTTGTCTGTAGCCATTTTGCTAATATTGCGAACGTCCGCCTGCCAGGTAGGGATTTTCTTCGTGGTCATGTGACGGCGGGCATGTTTGGTCAGATGGTCGCTGCGCATGAATCGCCGATCGCACACCGGACAGACGAACTTCTTCTCGCCGGTGTGTGTGCGCCGGTGGCGGGAGAGCTCATCAGAGCGTGCAAACCGCTTGTCGCAGCCGTCCCAACTGCAGCTGAATGGTTTCTCGCCTTCGGGAGGGAAAAAAAGACAGATGGGGAAAAACAAGTGAGTCACGCTGTTGTCATGAATCCTCAGCACGTCAATTCCAACACAGAACAATGAGCTCAGTCTTTTCTCTTTCAGAAATGCACTGACATATGAAAAAAAGCTCATCTTTGGCAGCCAAAAGGATCCTTACCTGTATGCGTTCGCAGATGAGCCTTGAGGTGTGAACTCTTGAAGTAAGTTTTTCTGCAGCCCGGAAAGCTGCAGATGTAGTTTCTCCTGCGAGAAAAGACAACTTTTGTGGCCGCTGTGTTGCTGCAGGGCCCAGCAGGCATGTACACGGGGGCTGGGGCCAGAGGTAGCAGTTTAGTGTTGCCCAGGGTCATGACAGTTTGTGGTCCCTGAGGGGCCTGAGAGACCGAGGGCTGAGGGAGGACTAGCATTACTGTGGCCTGTGGCACTGCAGAACCAACAATAAGGGGCTGCTGGAGGGGGGGCCTGTTGGTTGAGGTGGGCTGGGGGAGGATGGGGGTTGATGTAGTCCGAATTCCAGTACCAGGGGCCTGACCTGGGCTGGGGATGAAGGCTGAGATTATACCTGACTGGCTGCAGATGGGGAACATCTGGCAGATGATTTGAGGAGTGGTCACTGGAGGAGGGGAGAGGGCTGCGGTTGGGCTTGTTGATGGGTTTTGTGGTTGGGTGTTGGGGGTAAAGATATTGTCCGAAGGTTTAATGGGACTAACAGGGCGCTGCGTTTCCACTGCAGGTGGAGGCTGAGGTGTGTTTACAAAGCATTCCTGCTGCCTGCACACCATTGTTCCTGCTACGCTTACAGTGTTTGTAGTTTCCTGTGAAATGGAGGTGACTGGAATGTGGTGCTGGCACAGGTCTCTGTCTGCAGTGTGTCTGATGACGCTGGTTGCCATGGCTCTGCAGGGGTGTGGCTGAGCGGGCAGGGAAGGGGTCCTTTCAGGAGAGGATGCCTGGATGGGCTGGTGGCGCTCAGAGCCAGAGAGAGTCCTGGATACGGTTGGGCTGGGGGTAGACTGGACCGTGGTGCCTGAGGAGGTCTCAGCAAAGCTGGGGCTGTGGGGAGGTGTCATGCACTGCAAAGGAAATTAGAAGAATTACTGTGTGTCACAATAACAACGCTATCATAACAGAGATGGTTTGATGAATACGCTCCCATTACAGCCTTGGTCCTGCTTAATGTTTCAAGGCTTGAAACGAATGTGATCATCAGATATAAAATGGACAAACTAAATTTGTTAACCAACGATTTCAAAAAGCAATCCATACCAACCTGGTCCTTTCTGAAAAGTAATTGTCCCCTCAGCCTAATAACTGGTTGTGCCTCCCTTAGCGGCAACAACTCTACTCAAGTCCCTGCATCAACTAGCAATTTCTCTTTCACTGCTGCCTAATTTATGCTCTGCTTTTCACAAATCTGTTTTATTCCAGCTATACTGCAGGGTTTTAGAGCACCAGCAGTCTTTTGTAAGCCATGTCACAGCATCTAGGGTAGATCTGAGTCTGGCCTTTGACTAGGCCACTTCTAAACAAGGCGACAAGCTGAAGACCAAGCATCCTCCTTCAGGATTTTCTGATGGAAAGCACAGTTCAAGTTCAATTAAATTTAAAGATTCACTAATGTCCCTTTGAAGTAATTTTGGATGGCTGACCACTCCTGAGAAGGTCCATCTCTGCACCATGCTTGTCTTCATTTGTGGATAATAGTTTTAAATCTTATTGATCTGATATGAATATTTTTTTTATCACTCCTGATAGAAAATTACATTTCTCTATCGGGGCCATTTTGAACCGCTACAGCTGATTTATTTGTTTTCAGTATGACCTTTAACATGATTTACTGTTTTTATGACTCTCTTTTCCACAAAGCTCAAGTCCTTTTAGGGTAAACATATGCACATATGATACGTGCTTTTAGAGGGGAGTTTATGGCAGTCTTAAAAAAAAAAACATTAGTATTAAAAGGTAAAATTGGTGCCATTAACTTTAATTTTGTTAGCCTGTTATTTTTTTCCCCATGTTGTTCAGGTTTATCTATACAGAAGAGGATTAGGGCCACTGAAAAAATAAAAGAAGTTAACAGATTTTTAAATATTATTTCAGTTTAATAAGGGAAAAAAGTCATAATTCTGACTTTAATCTCAGAATTCTGACTGTTATCTGACAGCTAACAAACATGTTAGCATTAAGCTGTACTCATGTCTGTTTTAGAGACCAGCTCTCTTGTTTTAATGACCTTCTGCTCCTCCATTAATGAAATAGCATCACCGGGGGCCCCTCGGGAAAGTAAAATGCCTAATTTCGTCATTTTTCACCAATGTGTTACTGGCCATCCCAAACAACACACATCTTTTTGAGTGAGGAAGAGTGGTCCCACATATCTTCCTTCATGGAGCCCATCTGCATTAAAATCCAAAATTCTGAGATTAAAGTCAGAATCCTGAGAAAAATGTCAGAATTCCGAGATTAAAGTCAGAATTCTGAGATTAAAGTCAGAATTCTGAGAATAAAGTCAGAATTCTGACTTTTTTTCTCATATTATACTGACATAAAATTTAAAAATCAGTTAACTTTTTTTGTTTTTCTCAGTGGCCCTAATCCTCTTCCGTAGATCTAGCATTATGTTTCATTCAATATTAAATTTTTTTTATGATTTAGTAGTTAAGTTATTTAAGCCTGACAAAGACACAAGGAAAGAGTAAACGAGGGCAAATGATCACAGATAGCATGAAGGTCCAGAAATATCAGATAATCTGAGTAATAAACTTAATTTTTATGGCTCTAACTGCACCTGATCTGAAGATGAATCACCTTGCAGTTTGAGTTATCTTTCAGGCATCCCTTCCCTCATGTTAGCATCTTAAACAAAGGATAAGTTCACTATTCAAGACTTTATTTACAGAGTAATCCACTAAAGGATCTTACCAGAGAGGAGAGGGATACAAAGTCCCTCTGGGGCTCGTGGAGATCCAGGGGCAGGAGGGAGTCACAGGAATCAGAAGCCGGAGTGAGGGGCCGGGGCTTGCAGGGAATGAGCTTCTCTCTGCTGCTGAGGAACACGGGCTGACCCCAGGAGCTCATACACACCAGAGCTTCAGCTGCTTCCAGATCGGTGTACTCCAAACCAGAACAGCTGCTGGTTCCACTGGAGACAGACTGATCGCTGTCGTGCCTTCTTCTCTTCAGGCACGGCCCACACTGATCCATATGTCCTGCCTGGGACCAACAAAGAATCAAATATGTATTTTTAACTCACTTCCTTCCAGTTATAAAAGATAATAATAAGTCTTGTGCTGTAAAATAAAGCAGCAGTGTGTGCTTGGTCAGTGCTGTTGTAGCTGAATTTCCCGGGCCAAACTGGATGATGCTACCACTGTGGGAGAGAGGGGGGTGTTGGGTGGCTACACCCCAGCCCTGCACGCACCGCCTCTGGACTGAGGCCAGGGCGCCTCCCCCGCCCAAATATAGACTCAGCAGTGACGCGCTGCCAGATCAGCCATGTGAAATCCCCATAAAGCGGTTCGCATCAGGAAGTAGTTTTGGCAATGGAACAACTTTGTCTCAAAATTAACCAAAAAAAAAGGAAAAAAAAACTGACTCACTTAAGCCGATTTACCAAGCATTATTGACTGCATTCGGGCTGCTTTTTCCATTATCAGTATTTTATAAATACACATTCATGCATTTTGTATCAAACACTGAAATAAGTGTCTTACATAAATAAATATTTTATTATGAATACAAAACATAAAAAATTAAAAACCTATGAAATTGGTGTCAGTTTGCTTCAGATAAGGGTTTAATAGTAGAAGGGAACATTGTGTTACTGATTGGGATAAAAAATAAACAAAGAGTTTAAAAATTATCTCACCTCTTTTAAGTCCATGTCATTAATATTTCCTGATTCCCCTGAAGCAGACACACCGAAAAATGTCCCTTTAATGTTGTTGAAGCCAGTGTGGAACAAAAAGAGCTTTAGCTTGGTCCAGGATGGACTTCAGTTCAGATCGGCTCTCTTTTTTTTTCCTCTCAGCTGAGCTGTGTGTAAAACATGGGTAGGACAGAAAAACAAAACTCACCACACGTACTCACGGGTGGCAACACCCGGCCAATCGCCGTACGGCGAGTGCGGCGCATGGGCCAATGGGAGAGCAGAGAGCGCGTGAACAGTGCGTGCTTGCTGGACGGTTGGAGGAAATAGGGTGCGTGGCCGTTGGTGGGCGTGGCCACAGAGTCAGCAGTGTCAGGGTGAACCCGATGAACTGGCAGTCTTTAAAGTGGGAGAAAGGTCAGGCCGGTCTATGCTGCGTTTGAGGATTGTGGGAATAACTTGCTGACACGGAACTGTGCTCTATAGCTTTAGCGTTTTTTTTTTTTGTCCGGCTTATTCCCTTTTTCCTCTATAACTGTAGTTTCCATATAAAAACTATGCATAATTTATTCTTTTAAAAAAATTAAATTGTTTGCATTTACTTTGGCTTTCAGTGAACGTTTAGTAATTAGGGTTATCTATTACTAATTTTGAAAACGTATTTGCACCACAGATACACTAATACATCTGCTGGCCTACTTAGTTTTTTTTAATTATTTTTTTCATGGATTTGTTGATTTAATAGAGCATTCAGCAGCCATGCTTTGAGATTAATCAAAGCATATGCATCGACTTTTCCTCTATTTGCTTTCTGCTGTTAATATTCTGTTTGTATTTATGTTTTATTTTTGTTCTAATTCAGACTTGTGCAGCATTTTGCATTATTGTGTCAATTTAATCACATAATGCAGGTAGGAAAAGCAATATTCGCTTTAAATGCCCCCTAAAAATAGGCAGCACATACTGGAAATTGGTTAGATTGGTGTAAAAAATATATATATCCATATCTAAAAAAAATTGGTATCGGTCTATCTCTAATTTCCCCTATATTATCTGTTCCACCTTTTTGAAACTTATCATTTCAGATCATAAAAAAACAAAGATTTCTAGACAGAGATAATGTGGAATTCAAAGTTATTTCTGAGTATTGATTTCGATTACAAAGGGAGCCAAATTATCCCGACTGACCTCTACTGCATTTCCCAGAAAGAGATCTAGTCCTCTAATTTTGCAGAATTGTTCTCTGGCCCACTGGAAAGCTTTTATGTAGAAAGAACAGGCAGCTTAATGTCATTCAATAGCAAACCAAACTGATTTAAGTCCAGACTTAAAACCTTTTTTTGGGGGGTTTTCGTGCTATTCTAAGGTAAATAGAATGAGAAATATTCTAATTCCGAGTTTTCTGAATTATAGAGTAAATAGTTGGTTTTTTAGGTTTTGTTTTTTTTGCTGTTTACATAAATGTAAGTCCCCTATAGAATTTTAGGAAGCTGTAAAAAAAACAAAACAAAAAAAACCTAATGCATTTTTTTGTAACCAGGACTAAATTTTATAAACAACCTCATTAAGCTTGGCATAGACATCAAACTGATGCCCAGAGCATAATACTGCTGCTACTTTGTTTTGTGTTAATGGAAAATGTTTATGGTGTTTATTTTCCACTACACAAAGTTTAACATTTTTATTTTTGTGTTTAACTTTAATCTAATTTGAACAGAGCACCCTTTTCAAGAAGGAAACACACACACAAAGAAACTACTGTGGAAAACAAATTTTCCAAAGACTGACTTCTTACATTAAGCCCAGCTCATTGTGTGAAGAAACGGTTGTAGTTTGTAGAGCTTGGGAACTCTGCAGCTCCTCTAGATTCATCACAGGTCTCTTGGCTGCTTTTCTTACTAATCTCACACTCATTCAGCTGATCAGGGATGTTTTTGATAGGTTTGCAACATGGGCGGTTCTAGAAAGAAGACAACGGGGACCAGTGCCCCTGTAGATCATGTCCTGGCCCCTGTTATGGCCCCTGTACTGAAGACATGATATTCAAAGAAATTCTAATGATGATATGTGCTGGAATGGACATGGTTACTTGATAGATCCTTTGGATCTATTTCATTTATTTTATTATTATTATTTTTTTTTTTTACAAATTCTATTTTACTACGTATTTAAAAACAATAAGGTGACAGCTTCAGTGGTATTGAGATAGGATCCCAGTTTTCATCTGCTAAATGTTTTTTTTCAAAATAAAAAAAAAAAGATACTTTTTATAACTGAATTTACCAGTTTCTCTTGAGTTCTAATTCTGATTTTATAGAAAGACGTAATTATAACTTAAATTAAGTCAAAAATATTTAAAATTCCTAAATTTTGAATGTTTATTTACCTAATAAGATATATAATTTTAATGAAACCTAATTGAATAGAAATTTCATTTCATGCATATATTTGAATCCCTTGGCCTGTTTTTTATTTCATGCTTTTCTGTGCCCCCATAATAACATGCTGGCCCCCTCCTGGCCCCCTGGTACATTTGGTCTAGAACCACAACTGGTTTGCAGATATGCCATACTCATTGCATATTTAGTTGGATTGAACTGAGCTCTGTGAGATCTTAAAATCTTTCTATATTGCTTAATAAGCAAATCCTGTTTTAAACTTCTCCGCAACTTTCTCTATGACATTTCTGCTGTGTTCTTTTGTTTTATTGCTTTTTTTCAATATTCTCTAACAAACATCTCAGTCCTTAAGAAAACAGATATAGGTTTACACACAGGTGATAAGATAGCTTCAGAGGGCAGTTGGTTGACTGAACTTTATTGAAGACTAACGGAATAAAGAGGGGCTGAGAGCAAATGCTAGTTGTTTTTTTTTTTGCAAAGGCACAATAGATACTGAAATAGCTAAAAAATACAGAATGTTAAAACTGAGTGAAAAGTATTTTTCCATGTAAAATTCTTAGTATTCAAACTGCTCATCACTAAAACATATTTCAGATTAATTTTTTCCATTATAATACATTATTTCTAAATTTCCTCTATAAATTATATATTTTTTCATACTTTTGTCATTTCTTCAGTTAATTTGATAGAATAAAACTATTTTGGTGGTTTTCAACAGCTTACATAACCTCCACACCACTTGCCCTTCAGGAAAGGCATATTCATGTAAAGCCCTGTTATAAAACACTCATTCTAACTATTCTGACATCCTTGAATGCAACACCGGCACCAGGAAAGCGCGGGTGTCTGTCTCACTGTGATGCTCATCCGGCGTTCTGTTAGCAAAAAGCCGGAAATTGCGAAACTGTCAGCAGGTTTGCACGTTATTGACCTCTTTTAATGTCATAAAGTTTAATCTTTGAGGAGTTAATGGTTTAAAACCAAAATGTATTTCAAGCAAGAATCACATGATAGACACACAAACCCATCACTAACTGCATGTGTTTGCCAACATGCATCAACCCTTCCATACCCTGTTGTTGAATGTAATTTTACACTATAGCCCGAAGTCATATATGCCTTAAAACTTTAGATTACTGTCAAATATATGATTATAAGCGTAATAACTGTCCAGGTCTAACCAAAGATACCTAAAATAACATAGATGAATCCTTGTTTTGACTTTGTTAATGCAGGTGTATGCAGTGTTTTGTAATTTCTCAGGGAGAAAACTGACTGTGTCTCATGTTTGTCTCATTGTTGATCTGTTGTTTTGTCAGCAGCTTGCCTGCAGCAGAGCGTAGTGCAGTAGGTGTGTTTTCCCGGCGCTGCTAAGAAAGGCCCTACCCAGGTATGACTCACATAAGCATGACCTCAGGGAGCATTGAGGGCAGTTTCAGTGCCAGCTGTTAGTGGGCAGAGATCTGATGAGGGAGGAGCTACGGGGAAAACTAGTTTGCTCAGAGGAATGACAAGCAGTCCGGTCTGAGTACAGCAGTCTGTTTGTCACATAAGTGGGGCAGCCCATTTAGAAAAGCCGGGGAATCTGGAGGAAAGGTTACACCGGCCCTAATGTGGGGCTCTGAAGGCACACCTCCCCCCTTCTAGTCAACACCCCCGAGTTCAGGGACTTCATTGCAGTTGAACCTTTGTGGTTAAATATATCAGAGCTGATTGTGAATCTTGACAGACAGACAAACAGAGGCCATAATGGCACAAAGGTCCATCTTCTGAGAAATTTAATCAAAAACAGTCAATAGAATGAATATATCTCTAAAAACATTCTTACAAATCTTCTGAGAAATTTTCAAATAAAATGTGGTAACTGGTAACATTGTCTCATGGCGTAATCTCATCAGTGAGATTACGCTACTGATAAAAAGCAAACAGCAGGGAGTTGGTTAGTAATCTTAACTAGTATGAGGTTAATCAGCTGTTTTAAGACTAATGTTTATGAATTTTACAATTACGAAAAAATTGAGATGACAGGCTAAGAGGGAAACTGTCCTGTTTTTCAAAATGCTTTAGCAAGAAGACAGAGTGTCCAGCTGGGTTATCAGTGCATAGTCGCGTGACAGGATGTAGGATGTTTACATGGCATTAATAACTTAATCTCTGAAGCTGTAATGATTTATACAGTTTTTGAGGCCAACGCACGGTGCCATACAGATAAGTTTTGCATTTACATAAAGAATCAAAAGCAGGGGAAACAGATATGTACGTACGCTATATAAAATGCACACATCCTTTCTTCTCACTGTCTTACATTAAATAGGACTAAAGCCTTCTCATTTTAGGTAAGTATGAATTAATATATTTTAGCATGCTAAATGTAACAACAATTTGAAAGTTCTTTTTTTAACTTTCCTTTGACTTTTAAATTGTAGTTCATATACAGTCACTTAGTAAATGGCCTGTAAATCTGTGATATATGTTTTCTCCAGATACTTGGAACAGTTTGCTGGATGTTTGGCCCATTCCTCCTAACGGAACACATGTTAAGCTTCTGTTCCTCCTTGTCTAAACAAAGCATTTCATCACTGCATAAACCTGCTGTTGGACAGAGATCATGGCTTTGTGGCAGTATCTCCAAAGCATTTGTTTTGTTGACCATGTAAAGGTAACTACTTGAGTGGTAGGCTTGGGGGTCACTGCTCATATAAGAAATAAACCAGAATTCTGAGCTCAGTCTTTAATATTCTGTTATCCTGTTCGATATTTTTATATATGTGTGTGTGGGTGTG